AATGCGGATTTGATACTATGATAGATGAGTCGCTAATTAACTCATGGGTCAATCCGCTCCGCAGGCTACTGGATGAAGACTACACTCCACATCTCACATATGCTGAACCTCCTTCTGATGGATATTGGGATATTCCAATCTCTCCCAATGCCAAGTATTTTGCAGTTTTTGAGTCTTTTGACTGCATCCTCCTTGATCACAAACGACTGCTTATGGAATTTGAAAGACTTAATCACTTTTATGCGAAGCATGGCTCTTCTGTTGAAAACATATGGTCTAACGATAGACCATCTGCAGTCAAGAATTACAAGATGCGGAAGTTTATGAAGGCTGACTTCGTTCAGTACACCCTTACCAGAAGAGAGCATGACTACATACGCACTCAGGCATATTTCCCAAGCATGAATCCGGAAAAAATCTTCTTCATTTCCAGAGTATTCCAAAACAAGGTAGAAAAGCATCCGAAGATGCAAATGGCGCTTGACAAAGCCAAATCCTTTCTGAGGGATACAGTTTGTGACTTCGCCAAGATTGATGCAGATATCCACCCCACCATCATTAGGAAGTTTGATCTCCCCCCACTTGAACCGGTGCCAATGCCTACCGAAGGCTTTGAAGAAAGATCACTAGGTGCAACAAACTTTCCTGAACATGGTATCATATTCAAACGGAAGGTTGACAACGTCAAATACTTCATTCCGATGAATACTATGCACCGCTTGCCCAAGAAACAACTTGATATCTGCAAAACCGCAGTAGAAAGATCGAAGCATACTACCGCTGAAGTCAAATTTGAAATTTCTAGAAGAATCACTTGGCTTGAAAACGTCAGGAAGTTCAGGTGGATTTTGATCAAGTTCCTCAAACTTGATACCTGAACCGGAGTTAAAGAGGTTACTTAGGGGGAAATTGTTGAGACATAAAAGTGACCCTCTTGAACTAAGATACCGCAACCATCTACCTACCGCAATGGTTCACCATCCGCGATCATCTCAAAACCCGGAGTCAGTTCTTCTTTAGCATCCAAAGTCCATCGTTATGTTTTTCTTATCTTTATGTAATATACTCTATTATCCAGCATGCCTTGCACGACTGCTTATAGAGTAGTTGTTTAGTTCTGAGACTCTATAAATAGAGACTCCTTCTGATGTATTAATACAACTTCTTACTACTAAATTTCTTCTTCAACCATCTCTCTTATCACTCGATGACTTGTGAATTATTCTGAATAGATTTCTCCAAGTTATTTTCTTCATTTCTCCATCTTTCTATTCTTCTTACTCTAAATTGCTACTGAAACATATCAAACTATAATCTCTCTCTGGAGCAAGTCTTTTAGACTTAATCACTAAAAGAGGTACTCTGATTTTTATAAAGCATAAACAAAATCGGTCTTTTTTGGCCGTGGAAATGGAGATATCACAAAGTACATTGTTGTTTTGGGTTGTAATATAAGCATATTTTAGCCATAGAATCGATGTTAGATTTTGAAGCCAGTTCTGTTTTCCGATGACCTTTTTTTTAATTAAAGAATTTCAGTTAAGACGGTTAATTTTTGTTATAATGTTTAAATTAATAAGCAAATAGAATTCTATTTAAAGTACCACCAATTATTTTATTTACACAGGATAAGTTTATAATTGCATTAACCAATTTTCGATATATTTGGTTTGATCAATAGCTATATTTGAGAACAATACACTTAAAAAAATAGATAGTAACGGGTCCAACCCGCATCTTCTAATTTTCTTTAGAAAGTCAAACTATATTGATTTTTATAGACTCTAATGTATATACATAACTATTCCTTTAATGTCATATTTTGAGCCAAATATATTATAGATCTTGATACCATCAATGTTCTATATAACAATTATGTTTCCAAATTTCATTGATAGAAATCAAATTTGCAAATCCTAAAAAAAGTGAGTTGAGTTTTGAAAATTTCATTTTCATATATCTTGATGTGCCCCTAAAACTTCCTTTGAAATCCTATCTGACCCGATGAAAGTCCTCCTTAGCTTCCACTTCTTACTTCTATTCCTCACTTTGTCCTATAAATGGCTTGATCAACTTTTTCTATGTGTACGAGATTTATTGTTGTTTTTCCCACTTTATCCAACATGAAAAATATGGTTGAAAAATCAACATTTGCACTAACATGTGCACTATACTTGGTCCCTAATAGGGACTTCGTGCATTAGATACTCCATGTCTGAAAAGCAAACAAAGAGAAATGGAAAACAACTGACCAACAATTACACTATACCCAATCCCTAATATAGTAATACACATAAAAATCAATGGTTGGCTTGGGTTTAGAAGGTTTCTTGGACAAACATTACACACATAAATCAAAACATTGTTAGATGAGCAGAGTTGGGAATGACCATTCTACAATCATCAAAAATGCATGAAAAACAAAACAAAATTCAGGGTTTTTAGAAAAGCATTTTCAAGCATGTGAAAATGAAATTATATGCTTAAGACATCATAAACAAAGAAGTGAGAAGCTAGTAAGTGGCAATTACTCCAAAAAAAAGAGTAGGAGTCGAACTCGTGGTTGGTAGATCGTAGAATTAAATTGTAGAAATGGATCATAAGTTCAAATTCATTTAAAATAGTTCTCTTTCGATTGAAACAAGATAGAGAGAAGAGACAAGCAACATACATTACAACAGAAAATGAACAAAAATGGAAGGATACACCTATTAGTGAGAGACAGAGAGAGCACAATGGTCAGAGAGTATTTGAACTCGAGGTCTATTTAGCATAATCAGTGATGATATTCGTTTAGACATAGAAAGAGAAATGAAGATATATATTTGAGCAATTATAGTTACAGATGCAGTCCTTTCTTCAACAATATATCAAGAATAAGGTAGTGCCGATGGCAGAGCACGACAACACATGTATTGATGGATTTACTTTTTTTGGTTTTTACAGAAAGATCCAGAGGATGCGTGATTTAGGGTTTTTGGTGAGGAACATATATATATATATATATATATATATATATATATATATATATATATATATATATATATATATATATAGGGCTAGGTTATTTTGTTTTTTACATTTATTGTGTGCTAGAATGCACCAATAGAAATTTAGTAAATTAAATAATTATTTAATTAAATAATTATAGATATTAAATGATTTCCATAATTATATGTATATTAAATGATATCCATAATTATAATTCTCTTTTTATGGAAACTAATTAAATCTGTCGTTAATGCCAGCAATAACATTCTTTCAGAATGAATTTGCATCTAGGTTTTTATATACGAGCTCGTACTTTGTTTCAAGACTCAATCACTTCAAATACAATAAAGTTGTATAGAATATGAAGAACGAGAGTGTATTCTACTAGAATACACTCTCATTCTGCTGCAATACACTCTCATTCTGCTGCAATACACTCTCATTCTTCTAGATATGAATTTATTCTGAAAAAATATTATTGTTGACATTAATGACGAATTTAATTAGTTTCCATAAAAATGAGTTATAAATATAGATAGCATTTAATATACATATAATTAATACTAAATTCCTATTGGTGCATTCTAGCACACAATAGATGTGAAAAACATTTGAATTTACCTCTCTCTCTCTCTATCTATCTATCTATCTATATATATATATATATATATATATATATATATATATATATATATATATATGTAAATGTGAGAGACAAAATTGGGAGGGGTCGAGATTGGGGGAATAAAGAAGGAAAGTAATTAATATGATAAAATAGTATCGTTCTAAAAGAAGTATGTTTGTCAAGTTGTACATTGTGTTTATAAACTTGTACCTCTTAAAGTTTCAAGAAATATCAAATATGTTTAATAATAATATATATATATATATATATATATATATATATATATATATATATATATATATATATATATATATATATAGCGTAAAAGATGTATGCGAGAAATGTTTTTCTGACCGCAGACTTTGGTCCATGTCTTTTTTTTTGTTTTTTTAGAAAAGGAGACGCAAATGTTGACATTTACGGTTTTCTAAAAAACAACGATCTGTAAGAACACACGTACATAAATGTCTTCCCTCCAAAAACATAAGTGCTCAATTTAAAAAAAAAATAAATAAATAAATACAACCTAGCTAAAAAAATCTATAATTGTAGAGGGTATTTTCCAAGAAGCGACATTCCCAACCATCCATCTCTACTCACTGATTCATAACCTGTAGTTGTGGATTCATCACCATCGTGTTTAGGACCCACTGGTATGGCATGTGTTTTTATGGGCTTGTGTTTATTTGTTCTTCAAAGATCCAAGTTTGATTTTAGTTTTGGGGGTGGAGACAAGAGAAAAAACGAGATGGTGAATCCATGGAGCATCGTTGTCGTGAGATAGCTCCAACCTCTCATATCCTTACTTAATAGTATTTTTTCTATGGCGTCAAACTAAAATTTTAGAACAAATGAATTCATTGTTAGAGGTTATAATTGATGTTTGATCTGATTTTGGGTTGTATTTTTCTTATTTTTATTTAACTGAATTTTATGGTTTTTGAGATCTTATTTTCATCAAATATTAGTTATGGTTTTTTCCCTTTTCATGAATTTGATTGTTGTGGGTATGAAGCTTGTTGGAAAGATCACGACGATGGAGGAAGGGAAAGCGGGGATCTTGTCGAAAAAGTGGGAAATAGGGGGTAGATGAGATGGTTATACACAAGTTTAAAGTGACTGTATGTCGGTAGTGTTGTTTAATTTCTTTTATAAAAAAAATATATAAATAATAAAATTAATTAAAAAAGATATTAATAAAAGCATAATAGTTTTTTTAGATAGGACATAGACCAAACACCTAACAAAAATATACTAACAAAAATATACTATAGGAATAGGAAAAGTAGGAGTTAAAAAAAAGTCAAAAGTCAAAGAATATAAATTAGCTCAAACCATAGGGACTATTTATGTAATTTACTCTTAAATTTATTTCAATCATAGAATCGCAAGTTTCCAAGCAAATTCCAAATCAAAGACATTTCTTATCAAAAGGAGATGACTTGGACTATCTTGGTATAAACCACTTTTTGGCGCATCCAGATCATAAATCGAGGTCTCAAATCAATCATACCTTCCCATTACTCATAATGGTTGATCTGTCAGAATTTGTAGAAGAACCTTCATCTTCTTCATCAGCTGATCGTCATAGATATGATGTATTTTTAAGTTTCAACGGGTGTGACACTCGTGATACTTTCATCGATCACTTGCATAAGGCCCTAATGGATGCGGATATCACTACCTTCTTGGACGATGAAATGATCAAAACAGAGGAAGATCTGAAACCGGAAGTGAAGAGTGCAATTAAAACCGGGAAAGTTCTAAACCTAGAACTGGAGCGTGCGATTAAAGAATCTAGGGCTTGTATTATAGTGTTGTCTAAGAATTACGCTAATTCGCCCCGGTGCCTTGATGAATTGATGTTTATCCTTGAGCAGCGTATGTCATCCAACAAAATTGTTGTCCCCATCTTCTATCATGTTGATCCCACCCATGTCAGGAAGCAAGAAAGCACCTTTGGACTTGCAATGGCTGAGCACAGACGGATGATGGAGGCTGAGATAGATGCAAATAAAAGAAGCGAATTGGCTGAAAAGATTGACCAATGGAAGAAATCCCTTACAGAAGTTGCTAATTTAAAAGGGAGGGATGTAAATGGCAGGTAACCATATGTTTTTACCCATATTTCCATGCTCCTTCAGTTTTTTGTGTATGTATGTAAATTGGATAAAGAAGATACATAAAATTTAATCTAAGTTTGAATTATGTTAAGCATAGAGTAAGAGGGATGTTAAGCATAATGAAATTTGGTGGCATGTTACTGAAATTGTGTATTACATTGTTGGCTCTGGTCTTATTGTACATAAAAATCATAACCTTTCACATTAGATACTTATATGTAAAAATTATTACCTTATTATAATATAATTATGATTTCGATCTTTGGATATGAAATCTCCTGGTCAGTTAGTTAATTATGATTAGATACTTATATGTAAACATTATGACTGTGTTTTGTGGTTCTTACTAAAATCAAATTTCAGGCGAGAGACGGAGTTTATTGAAGAAATTGTTAAGTACATCTACCGTAGATTACATGCACCCTTAAGGAGTGCTCTCCCACTACTTATTGGGATGGAATCTTCCATTAACTATGTCACTTCATGGTTGAAAGATGCATCCTCACATACAACCGATGTTCTCACCATTTTGGGTATGGGTGGGATCGGGAAAACATCTTTAGCCAAATATGTTTACAGGTCTCATTCTCATGAATTTGACACAAGCAGCTTTATTGAAGATATTAGTAGGAGATGTGATGAAAAGCTTAACAGAAGCAATTTTATTGAAGATATTAGTCCGAAATCTGAAAATTTTAATGGGTTGCTTAGTCTACAAAAACAACTGTATGATGACATTTCAGAACAAAGTTCAGTTCACGTTCATGATGCTTCTACGTACACCTCAGAGATAGAGAATGTAGTCGCATGTAACAAGGTGTTTCTAGTTCTTGATGATATTGATAGTCTTGACCAGATAGATGCATTACTTGGAAGCAAAGCTTTTCATCCAGGAAGTAAAATTATCATAACAACAAAGAACACATGGTTGATCGAGAGTTCTGCATTATTCCAAAAGAACGCAAAACCCAAGCATGCTCAATTCTTTCTTAACGGCTTAGATAAGACTGAATCACGGACACTTCTGTGTTTTCATGCGTTCAAGTCCAATGTTACCCATGCTGGTTATGAAGAGGTGTTAGAGGAGCTTCTGAAGTATTGTGAAGGACATCCATTGGCTCTTGCAATTTTGGGCAAATCTCTATATAATCGAGACGTAGTTTATTGGAAAGAGTTCATAGCTTCCCTAGAGAAAGATATTGATCCCGATATAATTAGTGTGTTGAGAAAGAGCTTTGACTCTTTGCCATCTGAAAATGATAAGGAATTGTTTAAGCATATTGCTTGTTTTTTTGTTGGAATGGATAGAGATGTTGCTACAACAATATTAGAAGCATGTGATATAGAAACAATATCTGGAATCACGAATCTCATGGACAGATGCCTTCTTAGTATTGGACGTGATAACAAATTGAAGATGCATCGGTTACTTCAAAACATGGGAAGATTCGTAGTACAACAAGAATCACCTAACAGGCCATGGGAGCGAAGTCGATTGTGGTGTCATGAGGAGTCACTCAAAGTGTTGTTGCAAAAAAAGGTAACATGCCATTGAAACTTGTTCAAAGTACTTTTTATTAACATTTTTTTTTAAAAAAAATTGGCATTCCATTTTTTCTTAGGGTACTGGAAATGTGCTAGGTCTCATCCTTGACATAAAAATGCTTAAGAATAAGAAGTTACGGGAAGCATATGAGCTGAAAACAGATACATTGAGTAAGATGGATAAGTTGATGCTACTACAACTCAATTATGTGCAAATCAATGGGTCTTATGAGAACTTTCCAGAAACATTAAGATGGTTGTGTATGCATGGGTTTCCTTGGAAGTCAATCCCTCCAGACCTACCAATGGAGAATTTGGTTGCTCTCGACATGTCTTATAGCAATATTGAATCATTTGGGATTTTTAATTATCCACAACGAAGTGATAAGAGGCTAAAGGTAACTTACCACTATTTGTTACTCTTCTATGTTGAGTTGATAAAATTCACTACTAAATTCTAACTTATCTCAATATCAGAAATCAATTGGATCGTCCTCAAAAGACAAAGTGTTGCTTGGATCATTGAAGATTCTTAATTTAAGTTTCTGTGATCAGCTTAGTAGTTTGCGTGGCTTTGAGGATCTCCCCGCACTTGAGAGGTTAATAGTTAGAAATTGTGTTAATTTGCTTGAGGTTTGTGAATCAATTTCGCATTGTGGTGAACTTGTCCACATTGATCTAAGCTACTGCAAAAAGCTTCAAAAGTTTCCTACAAGTCTAAGCATTTTAGAGAATGTTAATTCTCTACTTGTAGATGGTTGTAATCTTGATGAATCTCAAAGCACGGTTAGAATTAAGGATTCACCGTTAATGCTTTCCACGACCGCAATTCTGCATATAAGGTCTTTGGTAAGGTTGTCACTTGCAAATAATAATTTGTCCACCGAATCCTTTCCCATGGACTTCAGTTTCCTGCCCATGTTAAAACATTTATATTTAGATGACAATCCTATTGTTTCCCTGCCCAATTGTGTGAGAAGCCTTCCAAGACTTGAGATGCTTAGTCTGAGAAACTGTAAATCTCTGAAGTCTGTGGAGCGTCCTCCACAAAAGCTAAGAGAGTTGATCCTCCTGTTTGATACTAAGCCTTTGCTAGGAAAAGTTATATTTGATCTAGAAATGTCCCCACTCAAGTTATCATATGATTGGAGATGGATTATGCCTTCGTTCTTTGAAATTGAAGGCATTGTGAAAATCCAACCAATGTCAGGTGTTGAAGAAAAGGTATTACATAGTTTGGGCTGGACAAACCTAGATTTCCTCAACAAAATGCATAAGGGGAAAGATGCTTCCTATAGAGGGTCAAAGGCATCTGAAATCCAGGTTTGCTCTGGTTAATTACGTCTTTGTGTTAATATGTATATATAATTCATGGTGATTAATTAGAACGGTTGTATTTGGCAGATGTATTATGAATTTGGAATATTCAGCACAATCTACCAGGGAAAAGAGTTGCCCGAATGGTTTACGTATAGAAGCACCGGGTCATCAATATCATTTATCATCCCATCATCATCATCATCTTACAACCTCAAAGGACTGAATTTTTGCTATGTGAAGCAATTCCAAATTCAAAACAATGAGTCCCTTTATTTTCCAATTATTGAAATTCGCAATATAACAAAGAACCGCACATGGATGTACCATCATTCCTGTGGCAGTAATGTTATTGTAGATGGAGAGTGTTTTGTGTTGTTAAGCCATTGGATGTTTGGGATGAATGAGATGGAAGGTGGTGACCACGTTAAAATTACTATTAGTGTAACAAAGCAACATCAACTTGCAGAGGAGTTGGGGGTGAGTTTTGTGTATGATGATGGAAACAAAGATGAAGAAGAAGATGCGTTGGGTTATTACAAGTCATGGAATCACATCATTGGTGGGGATCTCTCTGCTTTTCAAACAACAACAGGAGTATACTTGCTAAACATTGAAGGATTCACACGGCATGTCATTGAAGTGGATCCATGTTATCATGGATTAATTGAAAGGAGTACCCGCTATAAAGGTACACATCATTCTTGTCATATATTGTCCTATGTATTATTGCTTCACAATTATCAAGTATTTCTGAACCAATATTTTAACGTTTTTATTGTGTGTGTGTATGTGTGTATACACACACATTAGGTTAGGTATCCGTGTATTACAATTGTTTGATTAAAAGAAAAAGTTAAATAGGAATGAGGAAACTTTGAAAATATGTATTAGAGATATGGAGGGAGGGAGGGCACATTCTTGTCATAAGTGTCTCCAAAGTTATATATATATATATATATATATATATATATATATATATATATATATATATATATATATATAGGTTCAGGTTCATTTGAGACCATGCTAATTTTGTGAGACCGTGAAACCAAATCTAAAAATAATTTTAAAATGCAAAATAAAAGGAAAAATCCAAAAATTCTTTTTTTAATTATTATTTTCGGAACTTTATTTACCTAAAAAAAATTTAAAAATAAATAAAAAAAAAGTTACCGTTTTTTTTGAAAAATACGTGAAATATTCTAATAGAATATTACACTGTACATATTCTAATGTGATTTTTAGAATGTTAGAATATTCAACTAGATTTGCCAGATATGTAGAATATTCTAATATTCTACTAGAATATGTAAAAAAATGTATTTTTTTTATTTATTTATTTTTTTGGAAAATATATATTTCGAAAATAATATTGGAAATTTTTTTTTTCGAAAATTTTCAATTATTTTGCATTTTAAAAATGTTTTTGTTTTATCTATTAAATGAGTGGCTATGATTGCGTCTCACGGTCTCACAAAATTAGGCCGTCTCACATGAACCTAACCCTATATATATATATATATATATATATATATATATATATATATATATATATATATATATATATATGGAGACAAAACTGCAAAAATGGTACTTCTGGCTTCTCCTTTTATGTGGTCAAGGTCCAAACCTTTGAAAAATTGTAGATTTGGTCATTTTCAACAAGTTTTGTTGTGATTTTGGTCCCTCATCTGTTAACTTTAACAGTTTGGGTGTTTAACTTTTTTAAAATGATTATTTTACCCTTAGGGACCATTTCTGCAATCAAACTACAAGGAGCATTTCTACATATCTTCTTTTTATTTTTATTGAGTTATTATATATTAATAAATGTTATTTTTAATATATACTATTTATATACTAATAAATATTGTTTTATTAGATTATTAATTTCTTTTAATTAATTTTTTTTTACTTTTTTGTTATTGGATATTTTAATTGGATTATTATATATGAATAAATATTATTTATAATATATAATATTTATATATTAATAATTATTATTATATTGGATTGTTAATTTAATTTAGTTAATTTTGTTTAATGGAATAATTCTTCTTTATTGGATTATTATATATTAATAAATATTAATGGATGATTGAGATCTTAATTGGGTCGATTATATATATATATATATATATATATATATATATATATATATATATATATATATATATATATATATATATATATAGGGAGAGGATCAAATGAGAACACCTAAAAGGTTGAGAACGCGAGAACAGTTCTAGACCAATCATTTTATAAGGGTATATTAGTAACTTTATATAAATATTAATTAATGATTTCCTAAAATCTAGGGATAATGATTTTAATTACCTAAAAAAATTAATATTTCCTTTTACTTAATGAAATTTATATAAATATTTTATTCTTATGATTTTTACCAAAAACAATGAGTAACAAGTATGTATGTGTATGAGCAAACAATGAGTTCTCAACCAAGCCTATGATTGAAGCCCTATCAAGATCTATGCTTATCGTTCCATAGATTATATGGTATCATGCACTCCAGCAATCGGGCGAGTGAGGAGTTGTCAATTCCTAATAGCGCTATCCACAATGACCATTGGCTCAAAGAGTTAATGGTTAGAGAAAAGTGTAAGGGAAGGGCCTTAAGACGATAAGTTCTCATGTTCCGTGTTGCATAGACATATATAGAGAGACATAGCAATAAAATAGCAATCATGTTTGATACAAATCAATTTAAATACAACGAACAAATAATAGTTTTTCGGGACATGCTTTTCCACCCCAAAACATAAAAACTGAAAATAGGGGAGTGCGTGAATACTCACAATATGAAAAATATAGCAACCAAGTTTATACGAGTCAAATAAATACAACGAATAAAAATAGTTTAGGACATGCTTTTCCACCCCAAAACATAAAAACCGAAAATAGGGGAGTCGTGAATACTCACAATATGAAAAATATAGCAACCAAGTTTATACGAGTCAAATAAATACAACGAATAAAAATAGTTTAGGACATGCTTTTCCACCCCAAAACATAAAAACCGAAAATAGGGGAGTCATGAATACTCACAATATGAAAAATATAGCAACCAAGTTTATACGAGTCAAATAAATACAACGAATAAAAATAGTTTAGGACATGCTTTTCCACCCCAAAACATAAAAACCGAAAATAGGGGAGTCATGAATACTCACAATATGAAAAATATAGCAACCAAGTTTATACGAGTCAAATAAATACAACGAATAAAATAGTTTAGGACATGTTTTTCCACCCCAAAACATAAAAACCGAAAATAGGGGAGTCATGAATACTCACAATATGAAAAATATAGCAACCAAGTTTATACGAGTCAAATAAATACAACGAATAAAAATAGTTTAGGACATGCTTTTCCACCCCAAAACATAAAAACCGAAAATAGGGGAGTCGTGAATACTCACAATACGCATTGAGATGATGCAAATGATGCCTTGATCTACGCTCCACTGGTACCACTATCGTTTTCCTACAACGATGTTACACACTAATGAGTCTCTAATTGAAATCTAATACTAGTATACTTACTACTACAATAGAATTATGCCAATAATGTGTCAAAATTTAATATTGATAAGTTACAAACATTTTTCTGTGAAAATTAAATTTCAAAGAATCAATTGTTATATAACAATTTAAGTGGAAAATTCCCATTATTGAAATGTTAATATTTAACATTTTAAGAGGTGTTCCAATGATTAAATATTCAAAAACTAAATCAATTTAGTTCTAAACTTTCCCAAACTTTTCATTTCAGTTTTAATTGAAGTCAAAGACCTTAAGATAATTTTTCTTGAATTTTTGATTTGTCTAACTATTTTTCACCATTTAATTCCTTTAATAATCATAAAATCATGGAAAAATAGTAAATTATCATGAAAGTCTTATAATTTTTGTGTAACTGCTTTACAGTGTACATAATCTGGGAAAAATATTAATATGTGTTTTTTAAAAGTTTAACACAATTTTTCTAATTTTTGTGTATTTATTCTATAAAAATAGAAATAAATATATAACAGTTTAAAAAATTCACCAAACTTTTATTACAAGTGTTATTACACATACTTAAGCTGGAAAAAATATAAAAATGGATTTCCAAACTATTTAACCTAAATTTATGATTTTTGAGCATTTATTCGAATAGAAATTGAAATAAATAGAAAACAGTTTCCAAAATTGCCCAAAATTTTTGTAACACTGTTATTATACATGTAGAAGCTGTGAAAAATATAAAAGATATTTTTCAATTAGTCTTTTTATTTTTCTTTGTTTTATCCTCTTAAATAATCATTAATTGGAGAATAATTATTAAACAGTTAAAGTAAATTACCAAAATTTTTGTAAAGTTCATTTACAGTGTAGATAATCTGGGAAAAATCCCAAAGGTGGTTTTTATCAACTGGAATCCGATTTTGTGTATTTAAGTGTATTTAATCTTAGAAAATAGGAGAAAAATAGTATACAGAAGAGAAAAATCATCAAAATTTGTATGTAGCATCCAAATGTACTAGAAGGTGTTCTGGTAAATTTTCATGTATTTTAGATGAGCAGAACTATTTTTTCTATTTTTAGGCCATTATAAATACAAAAATCGGGGAAAAATAGGAATGCATTATTAAAAATTCTGAAAATATTTTGCTGAGTCTTACACCTCTAATAGAAACTGCGAAGATTATTAGATACCATTTTCAAATTGTCTAAAGTGGTTTTATGATTTATTGGGGCTAAACAAAAAGAAAATTCAAAACCACGCTAAACAGTAACAAAAATCGATGAAACGTAATGAGAAGTCATTATTTAGCATAGGGGTCATCCACAAATTTACCTAGGATTTATAGACCTCAGAAAGTATTTTATATGAATTATTTCCCTAATTTATTGCATTAATTATAGTAATTCGAGAAAAATGAATTATTTTCTGAAAATTTGTAGAACATCTCATTTTGTTGGTGGGAATCTGGGAAAAATCGGATTTGGTCAGAAAAGGAGTTTTAGATATTTATTTGGAAATAAATCCTTCATGAACATATTTGAAAGCTTTTAACAACAAACTTTGATCATCAAGCATCTAAACTTGAAGATCATCACATGCATGTTGTTTTGAAGACCATTCATGAGTTTGAAATGTTCAAAAATCGTTTTTGATAGAAAACTTAGGGTGCATGTGGTGATTTTTACCCAAAACTTGTAGAAAAGTGCATTATGTTGATTTTGACTTAGGTTTTGGTCCTTGGATTTCACCATTAACAACTTGCATGTTGTTTTTGGGTGAAATCCTACCACCATCATTATCAAAACCGTGAGTTTGTGTGTGTGTATGTTTATGTGTTCTTGATCTTTCATTAGAATGGAGTAGAAGATGGAGAAAATCCATGAAAAACAAGTAAAACTTGAAGGAAAAGAGAATGAAAATGAATGATTTTCGGGTTTAGCTTTAAGAACACCTCAAGATGATTAAGATTTAGAGTTCATGGTGTGTTCTATGACCCATTTTTTGGAGAATTTCGTGGTTGAGGGAGAGAGGAAGAGAGAATAGAGAGAAAATGAAGTGAGGGAGTGTGAGAGAGAAAGAGATGGAGTGGGTGAGTGAAATTGATTAATGACTTGGGAAAATGGTGTATTGGGGGGGGGGGGGGGATGAGTCCGATTTTTGGGAGGAGGAGAGAGGATTTCTCTCTCATAAATCCCATTCAAATCATTTCCCCCAATTTTTATAAATTTTTAAAGTTTTTATAAAATATGCTTAAGCTTTACATTGTTTTATAAAATCCTTGATTTTCCTTGATTATATTTCCCAACTATAAATTTCTAAAGTTTTTATAAAATATGCTTAAGGATAAATGTTGGTACATTAAACTATAATTTCCTTGATTATATTTCCCAACTTGATTATTTTAAGATAATTTTATAAGTTTCATAACTATTTTTATATAATTCTTGATGTTAAACTTTATAAAATTTTGGTTTTAGGGTTTTTAGGGTTTTTGAGAGTTTGTAAATCTTTGGATATCAAATTAAATTGAATCTTTGAGACTTCAAATTATCTTATGGTATTATAACTCTTTTATAGTTATAAATAATGTTTGTAATTTATTTTTAGCGGTTTATTGGCATTCTATGTAGTGATTCCGAGATTCAAGCGAAATTGAGGAATCAAGTATACTAGTCCTACTCTTCAACTTTGACTTAAGTTTCTATGAGACTTTGACCTAATTTCTACTACTAGGTCAAGTGCATGATGTGTGTATATGATTCATGAAAAGGTGTTCGAGTCAAAGAGTGACCCAAATATGGATAGTCACTACAGTTAAGTAGTAGTAGAATTCACATATCAATGTGAAATCTAAGTACACTATCATTCGGTCCTACTTGTTTCCAAGTTTCTAGTAGGTTATAACTTAGCTTCTAGTTACTAAGTCTATTATGTGTCGTGCCTATATGTGCAACTAAGTATAGTCAAATCTAAAACCGACTCGAATTTTGACGGTTGTCATATATATATATATATATATATATATATAATTAACATGTTTCTTTTTATTTGTTTTAATCAGAAGAGCAAGTGTATTTCAGAGCTTTATCCCAAAGGAAGTTTGGCAAAAATTTTCAGACACCGAAGGTATATCTTTTGACATCAGACCTTTCTCTCATCACATGATTAAAAGCATAATTGTCAAATTGTGACTCGAAATATAAATTCTCTACTTGTGACTCGAATCCTAATCCTAAGAGTCATGATATTGAAAAAAATTATATGTAAATATGTAATACATGTATAAAGACATAATATTTGTTGAATATTAATGCATATTTATAAATATATGTGGAGCCTAAGATTGTCTCTCCAAAAGAGCTCTTGTGGAGAGAAGGGGAACTCCAACATATATAGTCACTTATATTACAGTGTCGCACCGATGTGGGATACACTAACAATATTTACCTTTATTTCTTTAAATTATGCCAATATATAATATACATGCAAATACAATTACAAATTAAATAGATTAATACTTTAATATATGTGTATTACCCGCTGGACAACGACATTACCCACAGGTTATTTGACTTGTCCGAGTTGGCTCGACCCGAACTACCGAGTCGGTTTGTTTAGGGTTTGAAATAACTCGTACGAGTCGACTCGTAACTTGTACGAGTTTGACAATTTTTAATAAAAGGCAATTAGCATTATTTCTGAAAATTTCATAAAAGGGAATGAATTGATATGGCAAATGTTTTTTTTTAATCTTTCATTTTGTTCAAGTGAGCATCCTCTCTTCTTCTCTCAATTATTTGTGATTTACTCCCAAGTTATCCTGCTTGTTCAATGTTTTCAATACCAAAGATTGTGTGCTAAAAGAGATCAATATAGTTTGACAGATTTTACATGCCTTTGTCATTTTTTTAGACAATTTCTCTAATGGTACCTGTGGCATGTTGAGGATATTTTCAGAAACGTTATGGGGGAGTGGTTTTCAAAAAATTGCCCAAAGATTTTGCATGGTTGGCCATTCAGGCGTTAAATCTAGCTTTTGAGTTGTTATTTTTTTATATGACCAATATGCCCTTGGACCGAATCTGAATTATATAATACACCTCAGGGACCATTTCTATCATTTACTTAGAACTTTGGTTTACTCATTTGTTCCGATTTGGTTTCCCCACCATGTTCGGATTTGGTTTCAGATTTGATTCAATTTTTTATTTCGCCACCAAGTTCCGATTTGGATTTAAACTCTCAACACCAACGACCTTTTTAAACATTTATTGCAGATTCTACCATCTCCATCCACCGGTTCCTTCTCATTGAAGAATCTCAGCAGCAACATCCAAAACCATGAACAGAGCATCGAAAAAGAGCAAAAAAGCTTCACAGATTTCTCTTTTCAGCAACCATCAAATCATCAAACTGTAAGTTTTCATCATTCTGGGTTCTTGTGTTTTTCATAAACAAGAAACGGACAATAATTTTATTACGAATTTCAGGAGCAGCTATGGAATCATCAGAAACCCAGAGAACAAGATGAAAAAACATTTGTGCAATCAGAACACCCATCTCAGTTCCTAACTTTCTCCCCAGAAATTTCCACAATTACAACCGATTCAAATTCGCAGATGCAAAGCTCTCAATTGGGTTATGCAGGCAGCAACATCAATTTCGAAAATCAATCATCGCAAATAAAAACAGATGATGGCTATCGTTGGAGAAAATACGGGAAAAAACAGGGGAAAGGAAAAAATGTTAGAAGCTATTACATGTGCGTGTCTCCAAATTGTACGGCGAGGAAGAGAATAGAAACAAATTTGGACGGTCAGATTACAAAGATTGCTTACAAGGGTAGCCATAATCATCCAAAATTTCAATCTACTCGAATATCATCAGCTTCAAATCATTTACAGATGGCTCAAGCTTCTAGTAATCATGAATTTGATAAGTTTTATGGTTCTCATGGATCTAGGCAGTTCGATTCCTTTGCCACCCTGGAGAATTCATCTATTTATGATGACCTTGACCGGAGTAGCTCCGGTCGGCTCAAGTACGATGCCATGCCTGATTCCAAAAATGGGTTTATCTCTGACGGCAGCTACGGTAGCTCCGGTGGGGACGAGCCTATTAGTATATATTAGCTTAGCCCATATTTATTATTGTATAGTCGAATGTTGTATTGTACTATATATTTTTGTTAATGAAATCATTCCAACTCATGGGAAAATATTTACCCTCATATGGTAGCAAAGCTCCCCACCATCTAACCCTAATTTCCGTCTCTCCCCCTTCCATCGACCTCTTCTTGGCTTCCTTCTCTTGCTTACTTCTTGCTTGATCGTTTCTCATGGTGGGTGATGATAATACCAACCCATACACCGAAAACCTTAAACCCTATTGAATCACCAACATCAAGGCCTTCGTTCCTCTTGTGCTTGATCTCTCCCAACTCAATTATGATGCTTGGAGTGTTCTTTTCTCTACCCACTTCAAAGCTTATGGGGTTATGGGTCACTTGGATGGTACCTCTTTTTCGACTGCCTCCAACAGTGAAGAATGGTCCAAACTTGACTCCTTGGTTGCTATATGGATCTATGGAACACTTTCCCAACCTCTCTTATAGTGGTTCTCAAAGAAGGTTTGACCGCTCACAAGATTTGGACCACACTTGAAGAGTTGTTTCACGATAATAAAGAAGCTCGAGCCATTCAACTTGACAAATGAGCTCCGATCCATGATGCTTAGCGACCACCCCATCATAGATTTTTGTTCCAAAAAGAACTCAACCGCCGACTTGTTTTCAAACATTGGTTCTCTGGTCAAAGAGGACTCTTGTCACTCATCTCCTCAACTCTCTCACACCGAGGTTTGACAATATTGCTACCCTTATCCACCACCGGTCTCCATTCCCGACTCTATTTCAAGCTCGTTCCATGCTTTTGAGGAATCCCGTCTCAACCGTGATTGACCCTCCCAACCAATCCATTCCGATCACGCATCATCACCAAGGATACCACACCGGCTCGACTACTCAATCTCATTATTTTTGTCCCAACCACAGTGGTAACAATCAGCGCAACCAACCTCACGGTCAACACCGCCAATCGACTAATCATCGCTTACAGCAAGCATCCGCCGTCGTCTTTTCATCGTGACCCACAACAAGTTGTGTTGTGGTTTTCCCAACAAACCGTCCACAATGAACCACTAACATACCATTCCCTCATGAGCACCAGACTAAACAACATACTTCCAACCCAGATTATCTTGATGCTTCAATAGGAACAAAATTACTGATCATGAACAACTGCAGAACACTACACCTGGCAGAAGGCTTAGATAATCCTTCGAGTAGAAGATTCCTCCCTGCGATGGTTAGACTCATACGAGAGTTGTGCAACAGGGTCCAATCAGCCACTCTGAGATTACTTAATCCAACTGCAGGCGACTTAACATATACTCCGAAATACAAGCAACTCTTCGCATGAATCCCAAATCACTGAAACCACTCCGACTCATCTTGCTGCCACCTAGCCGCTTTCCAAAGGTAGCCGAGACCTCCCTGGTCCTAACTTGTCTGGCAACTATCTGAATTACCAGAGACTCCTACCCGATTCCTGAATCGAAAGACACACAAACACACATTAGCCCACTGCCGAGAGCAACCTTATATGACGATAATACCCCCAAACCACCTCGACACTAAACATGCAGCTAAAAGAATGCCACAAGACAAACTACAGTCTCCTATCATACCCGGTCTCCAACGACCTACCTTCTCCTGATTCTAAACACGTTGTGGCCATCTCGCAGACAGAACCAACCCAAGACACAACACAACGGCTCGATTTTTATCAAAAATAAACACATTCATTACCCTTGAACCCTGCGATTGATTCCCTTGGCATAAGGATGCCCCAATTCTTATTCTACTGGAACGCAAATCCAGCACAACACGCGCGATACTAAACTCGAGATCTTACCGTAAACCATTTCTATACTACACTCACAACCCGAGATCCACGAATATGCACTTGCATTTCACACCACAACCTTCTGATTCCCGAAGACCCCTAACCTGACTAATAAATAATTACTCTCACACCATCTCTGAGACTACCCGTCTCGCACCTGGTCCAACCACCAGGTTCCCAAGAGTCCAAACAACAAGGCTACCCAACCTGAAACTCCTTTGCGCCACACACTGATCCCCCACATGGACCTGTAACTCAAGACCCAATAACTTGACCCAACGGTCTCTACTAAGACCCACCTGATCTACCATAATCACACGGGCCTCGCCCATGGGTCCTACTCATCTAAAGCTATACTGGCCCGACTCCGCCTTGGACCTCAATGGTCCTCAACCTAGACAGAGAATAATTCCCCGACCATCCAGGCTGGCGTACCCAAGGCACGAACTCATTCTTCTTCCACGCTCGACCATCCCTACTGATAGTCTACCTCGAACTGATGAATGCTACGATCCCATCACAATCTTACAACCCTTCAAATCAACCATGATTACCACCCATGGCCTCATCACACTCAAACCATCACAATACCACACATCCTGAGCCGAATCCTGCAACCCCTCAGGAGTTCGGGTCACACATTCGAATCCCCCAGGTACTATGCATAACCGAAGAGATGCCAACCTGCAGATGGGAGTTTCCTGAACTCCCACTAACTCAACCTTAGCCTGAACAACCACTTAATTCTCCCCGACTTGGACTCGACGGTGACCTCTCACCTCTTAATCCTTATGGATCTCTGATCCATCTCCCTCAAATATGAACCGCCCATACCTAGCGTTAAACAATACTAGCATTCCATTGCTAGCCAACTCCATGACCACCCAACTCCTGAAACCCTGAAGGTTGCTCTTGAAATCTTAACTAATCTGCTAATCCATATCACCTCCCTTGACACCATTCCTGAGTTCTTATACTAACGACTAAAACTATAACCCTTGCCTTGAACCGACGAATCCTTATCCCAACTTCCATTCTCAAAGAATTATTGAATTCTATCTGACTACTACCATGCGAATATAAAACTCCTCTGACACTTCTGATGACCAAACAACCCATGCAACTGACATTACTACCTTCCTGCCACCGCTCCTCTCCTAGCAATAGCAGTGCTTTAACCCAAAAGTTCTTCCATAGGCAACCGCCGCTCTCACCGAAACAAATACTAGAACCACCGAACCCTGACGATTACTAAAGAACTAACTCGTTGAATACTAAGTCCTAACCATATACCTTCCACACAAACCCCCTCTGAACCGATCTCGACCAAACCCAGAATATCAACTGGACACATTGGAACCCACTACAAAAGATACAACCCCTCAATAGCCCACTAATGATTCATGGCATGCAAAAGATATAAAACAATTCTCGAAGATATACCCCAACGATAACATATAATTAAACCAAAGATAATGCTTAACCGAACCAATATAAAATTCCAAGCAACATGAGTATTGATAACAACCGAAATGAACACAAAAGATAACATACCCACAAATCACCTGACGGAGCATGGCCCTCCCCTGTCTGACACTGCAATGACCGACTCTTCTCTGCTGGGGCTCTTGCCCTACCCTAACGACTATTAGAGATCTACAAAAATAGCCGGAGCAAGCGCACTCACTGCTCCTCCCCTTCTCCTCGGACATATGACCCTCTTGTGGCCTCACACCCTGAAATACTTACGAACTCCCTGATATCATCTCGCAGCATATCATGATACCTCACCTTCTTCATTTCTTCATCTTTTGCATACTGTGGTATCAGTAAAGCCCTATCCCGGAACTTGGCAGTGATCTCAGCCACAATCTCAGTAGTCTAGCGGAGATCCTGAAACTCTCGCGCCAACTACTGCACCTTAATCTCTAATGCGACTCAGCTTGGAACCTGGTCGATAAGTCATCCCATGACATAGTATCCACAACATCATCACCCACCTCACGACCAATCTCTTCCCACCAATCCCGTGCCCTGACCTTCAATAGGCAGGAATCATATTTGACCTTCACCTCCTCGGGCAGAAACTCCTCCTGAACATGTTAGCGATATCCGCTAACCACCTCCTACTGGCAACGGTCCCTCTCCCCATAGAATGCAAGAGCTCCACAAGCACGAAACTCATGGAAAGAAATAGTGCAAGCTCCAACGATAGTCATAACCTCAGCACAGAACTCTCCCTAGCACTCATCCAAGATCTCCAAAAAAACACTCCTTGACCGAACCAAAAATCACAGGAGTTCCAAAACACCGCGGGTAGTCTCCGACGAGATGAATTCCCGCATCTGCTTGCTAATCGGCTTAGTACCCTTTCTTGAGCCGGAACCAGAACCTAAACCTCATTCTTGGAAGCTCATCACCAAACTGAAATACAATCATGCAGAAGATCATAACATACTTAAGAATCCTCTTCCACAAGCTTCTTAGATTCTCCAAGACTCTCCCCGGTTCGAGTATGGATCCTGTTCTTTCAGTAGTACGGGCCCAATACTACCTTCTACACCTATCCATACTTTCCTCAGGAATCATCTTGAATCCTCTAAGTCACCCACTCCACGGATACAACAAAGCTCACTAAACAACGTGACTACAACCCCTGCAGCACTCCCTAGGCTCACCTAGGTTCCCGACCTCACTCTGCCATCAACTGCTGAAGAACTCCTCATAATGTCAATCATCCACCTCATGAATACCATCATATTCACTTAGTAGCTGACTCCAATCATCTAAGAGTTCTATAAAGCACAAAGCAAGCAACATTAATGCAGTAAGTCTCCAATCCATAAAACTATCATATAACATTCAACCCACACACCACCACTTATGCTAGAAATTCCACCCTTACTTCCGGTTTCCTTGTGCATGCAAACTATACATAGAACATGATGAAATAGACTGTCGAATAACAGACTCTACCCTAGAACCACAACCAGAAAAGGAACAGGAAATAAGACCAAATCAATTATTCTAGGGATATAAGATACTAACCGTATACAATTTTTCAAGAATACATTTAGCAATTACTAATTCCAACAGATATTCTCATCACATCATAGCATCCAATACACCCAACGCAACAAGGTATCACATATCAGATCAAACTACCACTAACTAATCAGCACTAGCATGCAAGTCTACCAGCCTATACGCTATGCATACAAATGCATCTCTCCTAACATTCTATCATGCAAGAACTGAGTAG